AAAAAAAAAAAAAAAAATGCATCTCAGGAGAGCAAATACATGAAATGAAGGTAAAAAACGTTTCATGTCATTCTGTACTTTTCTGTCAGCTAAAAAGACCTTGTTTACTTTATTTATTTCACTTCATTTTCTATTTTTGTGGGGATAGATAGAGAGAAGAGGGTTTTTTTCCCTACCTCCCCCCTGCCCCACAACACAATGTAATACGTATGTAATGTAATACAACTGACCGTCATACGCGATGGGAAGCCATGAGGATTCATTATGATATCTGGACAAATTCCTGTATCACAAAATGGCATGTCTTCCTGAGGAACAATCAGCCCACACACCCCTAATGGAGAATTAAAAAAAAAAATGTCAACTCACAAAAACAAAGCACCATAAGGCAGTGACTTACTACCACATTTTCGTCAATGCTCTGCCACTCCTTTCTCTTGCTCATGGATCACTATTTAGCAAGATTCATTTCCCTCTTAGTGCTGACAAACCACCGTTAATAAATTGCTACATGATAACTTCAGGGGTGCAAATTTGCTCGTCTCATTCCCAAAGAGCAATCAAGAAGAAAACATACGGTTTCCAAAAGTGACAAGAGATTTTGTGTACTCAACTCAAGCCACTTAAATCAAAGAGTTAATCATCAGAGCATGTGCTGTACTTCCTGAAAATTTGAAGTCTTTAATGCATTTCTCTGGGTACTTAAAAACACTGGTTATTTCTGAAACCGTGGCCCAAAGATGCATGCATAGTCTGGTCTTTGAGAACAATGATCTCCAAAGAGGTTTTCTGTTAGGAGAGCTGGGTAAATATGATCTGTTGCCCGATGAAGTTATAGGTTACACCAGAGATAATGCCCTCCAACTTGGAAAAATGTTGGAAACTCTTTTTAGTCCCAATAATTTGAAGCCAATAGGGTGTTGGGAGAGGCAGGGGGTGGAGATAAACAGAGTTGAAAAGCCCAAGAAACTTAAATGTGTCAAATCCATTCAAATTGCTTTAAGTTCTCCACAAATCAATCCTTCCCAGCCTTCATAATGGTTTCCACAGTGAGTTTTATAGATTGAAATGTAAGATCTAGCAGCTTGCCCTGAAGGGTAGCAGCATTTTAAATTCAGGTGTTAAAATGCAGACACTGAAGCCCCTACTCCTTTGAATCAAGACAACTGTTTCAGTCAGACAATCTTTTCCAGAAGCTCTCAGGGTTGAAAAAAAGAGACTGCAGGCTCGGTGAGATCAGCCCGGTGCCACTGCCAGAGCGCACTCTGAGAACAGTCCTTGAGTGGAGGGGGCTGAGGGTGCTGGTTACATCCCTAAAAAGGCATCCCCCAACCAGCCAGTTCACAGGGGGATATTGGCGTCGGCTCAGGAGGGAGCTCCTCATCCACAGTCCTAACAAGACAGGGATAGGTGCAGGGGACAGTAGCGAACAGAATGAGAATGGCAAGAATGGGGGAGGGGAGAGGAGGATTTGGAGTGCCTGCAGTTTTACGTTTAGTTTCTGACCTCGTACAAACTTAAATCTCCACTGTTTTTTTTATGACAAATCATTAACTTGCTGTTCTCCAGAGAGAATCATTGGTGAAAGCAGATTAAATAATAATAAAAATAATTTAAAAAAAAACAAAAAACAAAAAAACCAAAAAAACCAAGTTTCTTGCTTGCAGGATGATTTTATTTCCCCATCCTAAACATACATATGTATATATAGTATACAGGTTTGCCCCACATTCGCATTCTCTTTTTAAGAAACCTGAGGTTGCATCTGGACTAAGGGCACCTGTAAACCAAAAATTAAATCTTAGCTAACTTAAAATTACTTTAGGATCTGAAAACCCTTTTATATGCCAAGACGGTTCCCATAGCAGACAGCCACTGTGTTGTTTGTTTTGTGTGAAAGTGAATGATAAAAGATCCATGAAATCGACACAGAAAGGCAGAACAGCAGAAAGAACTGAGGGCTCTCCATCATAGCGGCTTCTACCCTCTGCTGACTTGTATAACAATGGAATCTACACATCCAACTGCAGATCTAACACAGCTGTGCATTTCATTAGATGAAGAGCACTAGTGACACAAGTAAATAATTAACTTATTCTGGTCCGCTGACTGTGGTTATGAGACCAGTCATAGCTGACAGATTTTAATACAAGTTAACACAAAGAAAGCATAATGAGCTTAGAAGTTAAAACAAAATATTTAGACAGAATCTGATGATCTGAAACCCAGTAGGCCATTTTTAAAGTCCTATTTCTGCAAGAAGTCATAAATCTTAATCCTACACCAAGATGCAAAAAACGATTTTTTTTAAAAAGTCAGAGAATATCTATATCAAACAGCTATATTTGGAGAATGTGACAAAGGATGTTTTCCTCCCTTTCCCTCTTTTTTTTTTTTTTTTTTTTTT